TTGGGGAATTACAATTGGTTATATAGGACCAGGCAAATGCTGAAACTTTTTGCAATATGAAGTTTCCCTATAATTGAAGCACACCTCAAAGATATTGTGCATTCAGTTCCAGACCACTGCAGCACAGTGAATATCACAATAAAGCAAATCAAATTTTTTGGTTTCCCAATATGTATAAAAGTTATGTTTACATGACATTTCATCAATTAAGTATGCAATAGCAGTATGTCTCAAAAAGCAATAAACATTCCTTAATTTTAAAATACTTCATTGCTAAAAAATGCTAATGATTACTGAATCTTCAGCAAGTCATAATCTTTTTGCTGGTGGAGGGTCTTGCCTCAATGTTGATGGTTGCTGACTGATCAGGGTGGTAGTTGAAGAAGACTGGGGTGACTGTGGCAATTTACTGAAATAAGACAATTAAGTTTGCCACAACAGTTGACTCTTCCTTTTATAAAAATTTATCTGTAGCATGTGAAGCTGTTTGATAGCATTTTACTCACAGAATTGCTCTCAAAACTGGAGTCAGTCCTCTCAACTCTTGCTACTGCTTTATCAACTAAGTTTACATAATATTCTAAATCCTTTGTTATCATTTCAACAATGTTTACAGCATCTTCACCAGTAGATTCCATCTCAAGAAACCACTTTCTTTGCTCATGCATAAGAAGCAACTCCTCATCCACTCAAGATTGATCATGAGATCTCAGCAATTCAGTCACATCCTCAGGCACCACTTCTCATTCTAACTCTCTTGCTATTTCCACCACATTTGCAGTGACTTGCTCCATTGAAGTCTTGAACCCCTCAGTCATCCATAAGGGTTGGAATCAACTTCTTCCAAATTATGGTTAATGTTGATATTTTTACCTACTCCCCTGAATCACAAATGTTCTTTATGGCATCTAGAATGATAAAACCTTTCCAGAAGGTTTTCAATTTACTTTGTCCGGATCCATCAGAGGAATCACTATCTAGAGCAGTTATGGCCTTATAAAATATATTTCTTAAATAATAAGACCTGAAAGTCAAAATTACTCCTTGACCCATACACTGCAGAATGGATGTTGTGTTAGCAAGCATGATAACAAATTAATCTCTTTGTATATCTCCATCAGAGCCATTAGGTGACCAGGTGCATTATCAACAATCAGTAATATTTTGAAAGGAGTCTTTTTTCTAAGCAGTAGGTCTCAACAGTGGGCTTAAAATATTCAGTAAACCATGCTATAAACAGGTGCTGTCATCCAGGCTGTGCTGTGCCATTTCAAGAGCACAGGCTGAGTAAATTCAGCATAATTCTTAAGGGCCCTAGGATTTTTGGAACGGTCAGTGAGCAACGGCTTCAGCTGCATTACCCCTAACAAGAGTCAGCCTGTCCTTTGAAGCTTTGTACCCAATCATTGACTTCTCTGTAGCTATGAAAGTCCTACATACCATCTTCTCCATATAAGGCTGGTGCACCTACAGTGAAAATCTGTTTAGTACTCACCCTCATCAATGATCTTAGCTAGATCTCTTGGATAACTTGCTGCAGCTCCTCTATCATTACAAGTTGCTTCATCTTATACATTTTTTGTTGCTTCATCTTATACATTTATGTTCTGGAGATGGCCTCTTTCCTCAAACCTCATGAACCAACCTCTGTTGGCTTCAAATTTTTCTTCTGCAGCTTTCTTACCTCCCTCAGCCTTCACAGAATTGAAGAGTTAGGGCCTTGCTCTGGATTAGGCTTCAACTTAAGGGAATGTGGTAGCTGGTTTGTTTTTCTATCCAGACCACTAAAACTTTCTTTATAAAAGCAATAGAGCTGTCTTGCTTTCTTATCATCTGTGTGTTCACTACAGTAGCACTTTTAATTTCCTTCAGGAACCTTTCTTTTGCATCCAAACTTGGCTGTTTGGTGTAATAGGCCTTGCTTTCAGCCTATCTCAGCCTTCAACATTGCGTTCGTCACTACGCTTAAATCACTTCTAACTTTTTATTTAAAGTGAGAGACTTGCAACTCTTCCTTTCCCTTGAACACATAAAGGCTATTAACTGGATGAATTTTAATATTGTTGTGTCTCAGGGAATAGGGAGGCCTGAGGAGAGAGAGACAGACAGGGGAAAAGCCAGGAGGTAGAGCAGTCAGAACACACACAACATTTATTAGGTTTGCTGCCTTACATAAGCATTGTTTGTCGCACTTCAAAATTACAATAGTAACATCAAAGATCACTGATCCCAGATCACCATTAACAGATAACATGTATTTGAAATCAAGTGAAATGTTTGGTGCTTAATATTTGATGAAAAGTTTGAAATATTGTTAAGAATAACCCAAATGTGGCATAGAGACACAAAGTGAGCACATGCTGTTGGACGGGTTGCCTTGAACCTTCGATTTGTAAAAAACCACTATCTGCAAAGTACAATCAAGTGAAGCACAATAACATGAGGTATGAATGTATGTTGGAAGGGGATAGGGAAACTATAGGGTAACCTGGGGAAGCATGCAAAGTACTCCAGCTTTGGAGTCAGGCAGACCTGGACTGTTTCACTAACCAGCTGCCTCCCTAAGTCCCAATTTTCTCAACTATTAAATGGTAACCACCACGCTCCTTGCAGGGTTTGCCTGGTAAGTAGCAAATACACAAGAAAAGTCAAGCCAATAAATAGTTGTGTGGTTACCACTATCTTCCAGTTGAAGCAAGGTCCAGAATTAGGTTCAAAGGTCATACAGCTAAGGAAGAAAGCTAGGCTTCAAGTCCAGTTTTGTCTGACTCCAAAAGTATGTCCTTTACCACTCATCTACCCTATTTACTAGAAAACACTAAAAACTTGCCATCTCATTTTTTAACCTCTGCCTTCCACCTCCAGTCTGGACTGGCTCAGAGTCCATGTCCTAAAATGTATTTTGATGTGACCAAACAGAATTCAGTTATAAGGGGAGGGGGAGGAATAGGTAGAGAATCGTGTGCCCCTTAATATTCACCTGACCGAAACATGGATTGAGGAGAAGACTTTAGATACTGTGACCCTGGGCAAGTCCCTTTACCTCTTCAAACTTCTATTTCCTCTACTGTAAAATGGGGAAATGATCTCAGACTGCCTGTAACATGGAACAGTTGGGAAGTAACAAAGATGAAGTACTATACTTAATAAGCTCATCATTATAGCTGGGACCCAGAATGCCCAGTGACCAATGAGGCCATCTGCCACCAAGCCAATTACCACCTGCCCGATATATATTCCCATGTATAGCATACAGAATATTGCTGGAAGGAAACACAAGGAAATGGGAATAGAAAGGTAATCGGGTACTGGGGTCAGCAGTAAAAAGTATACTTCTTTAGCTATATACCCTTTTATACCACGTGTTTATATTATTGTATCTTTTTTTCTAAAAATATGTTTAAAGTTCTATCCATATATTTAAGTGGAGTTAAATGGGCTTGGAAAAATCATCCACAAAGGTCTAATAATGGTCTTTCAGCCAGGCGCAGTGGCTCATGCCTCTAATCCCAACACTTGGGAGGCCAAGACAGGTGCATCACGAGGTCGAGATCAAGACCATCCTGGCCAACATGGCGAAACCTCATCTCTACTAAAAATACAAAAACTAGCCGGGCATGGTGGCACACACCTGTAGTCTCAGCTACTCAGGAGGCTGAGGAAGGAGAATCGCTTGAACCTGGGAAGCAGAGGTTGCAGTGAGCCGACATCACACCACTGCACTCCAGCCTGGTAATAGAGCGAGATTCCATCTCAGGAAAAAAAAAAAAAAAAAAAAAAAAGTAGTCTTTTCATTTGCAGAGATGGAAGGGGTGCAGAATTAGGACAGAGGAGTGGGTAAGGGAATGTTTGCCTTATTTGTGATGTTCTATTTCTTCACAAGTGGCATATATTCATGTATTACATGCATAATTAAAAATTAAGGGTACCTCTTTGGAGGGCATTTTGGCAGTACCCACCACGACCAAAAACACACATGCCCCTTGCCCCAGCCAGTTAGTTCTATTACCCTACATATATACGAACATACCAAAGACTTCTGTTCTAGAATATTCACTGCAACATGGTTTGCAAATACTGGAAACAACATAAACATCCATCATTAAAAGATTTGTTTAGAAAATGTTGGTACAGGCCGGGCGTGGTGGCTCACGCCCGTAATCCCAGCACTTTGGGAGGCCAAGGTGGACGGATCATGAAGTCAGGAGTCCATCTGACCAACCTGACCATCATGGTGAAACCCGTCTCTACTAAAAATACAAAAAAATTAGCCGGGCGTGGTGGCGCGCATGTGTAATCCCAGCTACTCAGGAGGCTGAGGCAGGAGAATCGCTTGAACCCAGGAGGCAGAAGTTGCAGTGAGCCGAAATCGTGCCACTGCACTCCAGGCTGGGCGACAGAATGAGACTGTCTCCAAAAAAAAAGAAAAAGAAAATGTTGGTACGAGTGTGCAATGGAATCCTATGTGAGCTTTAAAAAGAACGACGTAGCTTTATGTGTACAGATATGGGGCACTCTCCAGACACAGTGTTGAGTGAAATCGTTTCTAAAAGGAAGACGGAAAGAGGGATTTATACATATACAGAGATATGCTTGTATTGACATGGAGCCTTTCCGAAATGATATACAAAAACTGGTAGCAGCGGTTGGCTCTAGGAACGGTAATCAGGAGATCAAAGGACATGTGAATGGAGACAGCCTTTGTATGCATACCCTTTTTGTAGCTTTTGAGTTTTCTTATTTTGAGTTTTCTTTACTTGACCATGTATGATAAACACATTTGGTAGGAATTTTTTGATTTTTTTTTTTTTTTTTTTTTTTTTTTTTTTTTAAGGAAAGCACCTTGCAGCTCGGTAGTGCTGGATGGGAAAAGCTTCCATATCAGCTGGCCTTGAGTTCGAATCTCAAAGCCTCCGCTCGCTTGCTGCGGGGCCCTGGGCAAGTGACGTCCGCCTCTTGGGGCCTCAGGGGCCCCACCAATGAGGTGGGGCGATTTCCCTTCCCGGCATAGGCTCGAGCGAATTCGGACACGGAGCCCGGCCGCTCCGCCCGCGTCCCTGAGCCCGGCTCCCGCCCCGGCCCGCGCTCACCGCCGATGATGGTCCGGATGAGGGAGGCGTGCCCGGGACAGTCGACCAGCGTGACCTGAAGCAGTGGCTCGCCGGCCTCGGGCTCGGCCTCGGGCGCTGCCTGGAACTCGGGCAAAGACGACCGCAGGCGCGCGGGCAGCGGCACCGAGAAGCAGGAGAAGCCCAGGTCTAGCGTGATGCCGCGCTCGCGGCTCTGCGGCTGCTTGTCAAAGGCGGCAGTGGAGGCTGTGGTGCTTAGCGCCCGCGCCAGCGCCGTCTTGCCGCTGTCGATGTGGCCCAGCACGCCCACGTTCACGTTAACTCGCCGCCCTGCCATGCTGCCGCCGCCGCAGCCGCCTCGGACACCCGCCCGGCCCGCCCCTCACCTCCCTCGGTAGTCGCCGCGGTCCGGCCCGTTAAGTTGCCCCCCCCGCAACCGGCGCGCCGTGCACACCCGTTCCGTCCCTGAAGCTTCCGCCCTCCCGAGGCTCACGGGCACTGCCAGGTGTGGTGCCCCGGGTGGATGGTCTAGGAACGGGGAGGTCACTGCAGGCAAGGTTGCTCTCTCACATAGCTTCCGCTGCCTGAAGCCTCCAAGAGCCCGAGATGGAGGGATCCTTCTGAGAAGTGAAGCCATTGGACAGGATTCCTGGGTAAGTGGAGACTTGGAGAACTTTTCTGTAGCTAGCAGGAGGATTGTAAAATGCACCAATCAGCACTCTGTAAAACGCACCAATCAGCAGGATCCTAAAAGTAGCCAACCGAAGGGAGGATTGAAAAAAGGGCACTCTGATAGGACAAAAATGGAACATGGGCGTGTACAAATAAGGGAATAAAAACTGGCCACTCCCACCAGCAGTGGCAACCCTCTAGGGTCCCCTTCCACTCTGTGGAAGCATTTTGCTCTTCACAGTAAATCTTGCCGCTGCTCACTCTTTGGGTACATGCCATCTTTAAGAGCTGTAACACTCATGGCGAAGGTCCACAGCTCCATTCTTGAAGTCAGCGAGTCTATGAACCCACTGGAAGAAACCAACTCCGGACACACTTTCAATCATTCATGCATTGCAGCAAGCTCTTACCAAGTGCCTGATGGGTACTGCTGGGCTACAGTGCCTGCTAACATTACATTCTAGGGGGTGAGGGCTAAGTCAAACAATAAAGCCTGAACCAGACCATTTCAGAGAGCAAGAAGTCTCCTAGGGAAAATAAAAGCTGAGATAAAAAAGAGCGGGAGAGGGAGGATGGACAGCTATGGGTCAGGGAAGATATCTCGGAGTTGCTGTTTGAGTTGAAACTCCAGTGTTGAAAGGAGCCAACCATGGGAAAAGACTGTTTGAAGATGCAAGAGGACAACATTTGAAGATGGAAGAGGACAACATTATCTCTGACTCAGAAATTCCCACCCCAAGAGTCTGTAGCCTGGGCATAGGAGAGGCCACAAACCTCTAAATTGAACACAAAATGAATGTGTTGTGATATGCTTTTGCTAGAGAGAGGGTCCACAACTCTCACTAGATTATGAAGCGTCTAGAACCACAAAAAAGGTTGTCAGCCACAGTCACCAACCAGAGGTCACAAACCTAAGTCTCTGCTTTGGCCAGGTGGTGGGTAAATCAAAGAAGAGAAGTTAACAGAGTCTAAGATGACAGGGAGTGGTGGGGACCTGGGAGAACTGGAGAACCGTTTTCCTGTGCAAAGAGGGAAGCCACTGCTCAGCCTCAGCCAATGATACCAGGCAGGAATGGTAGCCCAACGTTGCCTCATCCTTCCATTTTTCTAGAGAAGAGAGTATTTCTGTAACACTGTGGCAGTGAAGCACAAAGTCACTGAATCTTACTTTTGCCCTGTGTGATGAGCCAGGCCATGTGCTGATGTATTCATGCTTGCAGTAACTGCCTCCTTCGTTCCACCACTCTGCACTAGGAACAGAGTCCATGTCATAGACTGAATTGTGTCCCTCTCAAATTCATATGTTGGCACCCTGACCCGCAGTGTGATGGTATTTGGAGATGGGACCTTTGGGAGGTTAGATGAGATCATGAGAGTGGATCCTTGTGATGGGATTAGTGTCCTTACAAGAAGAGAACAGAAACTTTGTTTCCATTTTCCCATCTTGCAAATAGGGAACAGTAAAAATACGTCTTCCATTTTAAAAATCTAGTAGTAAAAGCAGTAAACATATTTAAAAGGGAGGGTTAGTAAATAGGTAATAAGAGCTTTAGAGGCTTTATGTACCTCTGAGAAACATTTCAACTGACAAAAGATTTTGTAGAGGGCCTGGCTTCAAATAAACCTCATTTCTTACCTCTGTTTTAAACAGAATCCTGAAATGGTAATGAAAAGAAAAAAGGTTTGGCTGAGTGTGATGGTTCATGCCTGTAATCCCAGCACTTTGGGAGGCTGAGGCAGGCAGATCACTTGAGGTCAGGAGTTCGAGACCATCCTGGCCAACATGGCGAAACTCTGTCTCTACTAAAAATACAAAAATTAGCCTGGAGTGGTGGCAGGCACCTGTAATCCCAGTTACTCAGGAGGCTGAGGCAGAAACATGGCTTGAACCCGGAGGGTGGAGGTTGCAGTGAGCCAAGATTGCACCACTGCACTCCAGCATGGGAGATGAGCAAAACTCCGTCTAAAAAAAAAAAAAAAAAAAAAAAGAAAGAAAAAAAGTTTGTGTTTTAACCCTTTAATGTATTGTTCTCACAGACTCAATAGTGAACTTCATGCATTGACCTCTGAAGTATTGGTTGAAACTTGGGACAATGCTAAGCCTTGGGAGATGCAGTTTCTACTCTCGAGATGCCCACAGTCGAATATGAAAATGGGAGGGGGACAGTCGATATAATAATCTGGTATTTACAAGGCAGAGAAGTGCAGGTTTTGAGTGGGAGTGAGCTGTGGGCATGGGGGATGTGGTCAAGACACTTCTTAAAGGTAGTGACACCTAATCTAAACTGGAATAAAGTGCAGAAGCAGAGGGAGCTGCCTAGCAAAAGTCAGAAGGGGTGTGATGGCATGGGCTAGGGGCACTGAACATGGCAGGGAAGGGAAGTGATAAGAATGGAATTGAAGAGGAGACTTCAAAGTTACTGTCCCAGGGCAAAACTTATCTGAACAAGACTAGAGGGTGCTTCTGAGGGGTAAGGGATTGGTGGCGGTTGACTGGAAAAGGGCTTAAAGGCCTTTTCTGGGGTATGGGTATGGTCTATATCTTGACAGAGGTTTGGGTTTAGTGAATATACACTTAAGATTTGTACACTTTACCGTATGGAAAATTTATATGAAAAGAAAAAACTATTAACAAATATTGAACTCTAGTTGACAGTACATGTACTAGAGTGTTCAGGGGAGTGTACTGGTTCTGCACTTTACTTTAAAATGCATCTGAAAACCTAGATGAACTGAAGGGTAGCTAGAGGGATGGCTCGATGGCCATATGCATGATAAACAAATGTTATTGGCAGAATTCATGTGATGGATGTATGGGTGATCCATGTAAAATTATTTAAACATTGCTATACTTTTGAACATTTTCATAATATAATAAAATATTGGGAAAGAATGAAACAATCCTCTAAACTAAAAAAAAAAAAAAAGAAGTTTCTGTCCTACAATTCTTATCCATAGTATTTCTAAAATCTAAAAAGCTCTGAAAACAGCAAGTTTTCTGGAACTTTTTGTCAGTAAACCATGACCTGAACTGAGAGGAGGCTAGCTGTAGCTATGTAACTGCTTTTCACAAGCATGCACATATTTCACTGCAGATGTTTGACTGCTATGTGCTGCCTATACTCCACTGAGGGAGTCATATGGTATATAGTTTATCCTCTGTATTGCCTCTCAGAAACCTGAACAATTCCGAATTCTGAGAAACATTTGGTCTCAGGAGCTTCAGGTAAGAGGCTAGAGTCTCATAAAGATTTTTCAGTGACAAGATTTTGTGACTAATTGGATGCGCAATGGGGGAGAAGGAGGACGCTGGGACGATCTCTAAATTTCTAGCTATAGACCTTCATTTTTTCATTTTTCATTATTCAGTCTTGTGATGGTTAATACTGAGTGTCAACTTGATCAGGCTGAAGGATACAAAGTATTGATCCTGGGTGTGTCTGTGAGGGGTTGCCAAAAGAGATTAACATTTGAGTCAGTGGCCTGGGAAAGACCAGATGAAGACCCACCCTTAATCTGGGGGAGCGCAATCTAATCAGCTGCCATCGCAGCTAGAATATAAGCAGGCAGAAAATGTGAAAAGAGAGACTGACCTAGCCTCCCAGCCTTCATCTTTCTCCCGTGCTGGATGCTTCCTGCTCTTGAACATCAGACTCCAAGTTCTTCAGTTTTGGAACTCGGACTGGCTCTCCTTGCTCCTCAGCCTGCAGATGGCCTATTGTGGGACATTGTGATCATGTGAGCCAATATTTAATAAACTCCCACATATATATATGTGTGTGTGTATGTGTGTGTATATATATATATGGGATTCTCTAGAGGGACAGAACTAATGGAATATGTGTATATATATTCCACATGTCCACAACTAAGAGGCACAGAGCTGCTCACTATATATATATATTATATATATGTTAAAAAAATAGAGAGCCACTCATTATATATATAATATATAGAGAGCCGCTCATTATGTATATATATAATGGAATATATATATGTTTATATTCCAAGATGGAAGAGGACAACATTATCTCTAACTCAGAAATTCTCAACCTGAGAGTCTGTAGCCTGGGCTTAGGATATATATATGTGTGTATATATACACACACACATGCACACACACACACACATATATTCTGTATATATTCCATTCGTTCTGTCCCTCTAGAGAATCCTGACTAATACAAATCTTCTAACAAATATTGATTGAACACCTGCTGTGTGGCAGACATGATATTTTGGAGGGATACAACGATGGATGAATAAGGCAAATAATGATGAAGTGTTTTGGGAGAAACAAGGCAGCATTGCTGAGAGTTACTGGTGCAAGGGAGGAGGATGCTCATTAAGGGAGAGGCATTTGAGCTGACAAAGATTCAGGAGAAGGGCCAGGCTGCACAGAACCTAGGGAAATTTATGAAAGAACGTGCTGCACAGAGGAAACAGCAGGCTCAGAGACAACAGCAACCGGAGCCAGGTGGCACGTGGCGAGGTGGGGCTGAAGAGAAGAAGCTGCATGCTAAGCATATCCTGAAAATGTCTTTCAGAGTATGGTTTAGTCTGGTGGTGTGGCCTTCTGAAGCATCAAAGGCAGAAGCTCTGGAAAGCTGGCCGGAGGCCAAAGCCAGACTTTCCCAGAAAACAGGATCTCACCAATGCTGAGATTGGTGTTGCAACATCACCCAAGTCTCCCTCCCTGTGAGGGCTCTGGTTGTGTGGCTGGCCCAAGAGTCTCAGAAACAGAATCCCCTTGAGACAAACCATTGAGACTCACTCCTTCCTCCAGACAGTTACTCTGGAAGCATTTAAGGCCCCAGCCTCTTGTCCTCTTGGGCCCCAAGGAGAGTAGTCTTCATGAAAAGGCATGTTCTAGTACCAAGTATTTCTTTTCTATATTGTATGTAGTAGCCAAATATTATAAACAAAGTAAATGTCCTTAAAAAGAATAATTATGGTAAGTTTGAAATTGTATGAAGACAAA